TACACAAACACACATATATACACATATACACAAATATATACAGAAATATATACACACATATATGCACACACTAAACACAATAATAATAATAATAATAATAATAATAATAACAACAACAACAACAACAACAACACATACACAGAAAGGGGGAAGGAGTGAAGGAGGGAGAGAAAGAGGGAAAGAAGGAGAGTAGGAAAGAAAGAAAGGTAGAGAAGGAAGGAAGGAAGGAGAGAAGGAAATAAAAGGTGAAAGGGGGAAGGAAGGAGAGAAGGAACGAAAGAGAGAAAGAGGGAGGGAAGGAAGGAAAGAGACAAGGAAGCGAGGAAAGAAGTAGAGAAGGGAGAAAGAAGGGAAAGGAAAAGACGGAAGGAAGGAAAGAGGGAAGGAAGGAAGGAAGAAGGAAGGACATAAAGAAAGAAGGGAGGGAAGGTTGACCACAGCAATGTGTGGCGGGTACAGCTAGTTACTAATAAAAGAGATAGCTTTGAGTTGACTCTAGCTCAAAAACTCACAGAATGATCCCTAGTCCTTCCTTATGTTACACTTCCCCAAATATCTACCTCCTGCGTTGTTGTAGGATTTTTGGGTGAGTATCGCCATGTTCTAGAAGCATTCTCTCCTGACGTTTCACCTGCATTTATGGCAGAGGTTGTGAGGTCTGTTGGAAACTAGGAAAATTGGGTTTATATATCTGTGGAATGTCCAGGGTGGGAGAAAAAACTCCTGTCTGTTGGAGGTAAGTGTGAATATTTCAATTGGTCACCTTGATTAGCATTTGATGGCCTGACAGTTTTTAGGTGTGGCTTGTTAGCGCCTTGGGGAATCCTTTGTTGAGAGGTGATTAGCTGTCCCTGATTGTTTCTTGTCTGGAGTTCCCCTGTGTTTGAGTGTTGTTCTTTATTTGCTGTTATAATTTTAGAGTTTCTTATTACTGGTAGCCAGATTTTGTTGATTTTCATGGTTTCTTCATTTCTGTTTTTTCTAGCTTTCCTAGTTTCCAACAGACCTCACAACCTCTAAGGATGCCTGCCAAAGGTGCAGGCGAAACGTCAGGAAAGAATGGTTCTAGAACATGGCCATATAGCCCGAAAACCCTACAACAACCCAGTGATTCTGGCCATGAAAGCCTTTGACAGTACATCTACCTCCTGTGTTTGGCAACTGGCCTTGGAGGCAGGCCTCTATATTCCACATCCATGATAGTCTGCTCTGTCCATGTTTCTTAATAGGCTGAAGAGTAGATACATGGGCATAAAGTTGCTGGACTTTCTCTTCCAACACCAATCAACTTAGCCTTGCTGCAAGTGTAGCCACCTACATCTTTGGCCAAGAATACAAACATTGTACAGCTGTTGCAGGTTGACTCCTTCACCATCCATATTTGGCAGTCATAAGTAGGTATTGAACCTCTCCTTCAAATTTCCTCACTTAGAACCCATGCAAAATCCCCCTGTCTGGCCTTCCTTGTTAATGAGCTTTTTCTCCACAAGCTCTAGGACCTTGTGCTGCAAGTATCCAACACAGTGCAACTCACTTCCTCTCTTGAAGTCTTTGCTTTCTTTCCAACATGGCATTATCATTCTATCAACACATTCTGTATAATCAAAACCTTGGAGCCTAAAAGTGAGCTGAAATGTATTCTATGCATCCCTAAGAGTTAGGTTTAATTTTATTGAAAGTATCTGCGAACTTTGCTTCAATCTGAAAAGTGTATTTGGCTCCCTCTGCTGGCGATACACTTGAAGTGCATAACCTGGCCAGAATGCATTCATTGATGATTAATAATGAAAACAGTCACCCATTTTCAACCTTTCTTCCCTACTGAAAAACAAAAGAAGAAAAAGCTGTAATAATTTCAATAATTTCACTTATAATGAAGTGGTCAGAAGAATGAGGCAAGCTTTAAATTTTTTTTTTTAAAAAAGGGAAGTGTCTTCATTCAAGCCACATTTGTGTTCAAGCATACTTGAATTGAAGCCCAAATTGTTGCACATATTCAGCCATATTTTTTTCTCATCATATATAATGGGATCAGAGCCCAACATTCATATAATGTGTTTTTAAAAATTATTTTAAGTGTAATCATTTGATCACTGGTCAGTCTAACAAGATACTTCCAATATTGTGAATAATGGATCACAACCAAATCGAGGTAGCAGAGCTTATTTGGTAACGGATAATTGCTGGGCATGTAGACACCCTGTTTCTGCTTGATGCTTTCAGCAGGCAGTGATGCAAGCAGACCTCTTTTAAAGATAACAAGTCTTGTTTACTGATAACTCTATGAATTCAAAGATACAGGCACTGGCCTATGACAATGTCTGTTTATAGTACGTGCTTTCTGTATGCCCAACGGGATGCCGGGGTGCCTCAGCTAAAGGGTCCCATAGGTTTCCCAAAACAAAGTTCTGTAGAAGTTCAAAATAAGTTCAACAAAGTTCTTTATTAAGACTTAAATCTTCAAACAAATGAATAAAATGCCATATAATCTTGAAAAACTGGTAGCTTTCTTGATCTGCCGACAAGGGACAGGCAACTGCTTGATAAACTGTTCCTATCTTCTTTAGGGAAACCTTCCAACCCCTCCTTGGGCAATCTTTCTTAACCCTGCTGGRGTGAGGCCCCAACTCCCGGCTCCAAGCTGCATTATGGCTAGCCCGKGTACCAGGCAATGGTTGCTGCAGATCTGCCAGGCTGGTGTCCTTTTAGTTTCTCCARGAAGGCTGTAGGAACTAGTTCTTTGCCRAGCAAAGGCTGGCTGTATTCCTCTAGCAAAGCTYTGGAACTGTAACTTTACTCCCTAGCAAAACTGTAGAGGTTTTCCTTTTTCTCCAGCAAAAGCTGGCTGTATATCTATTTCTTTGACCCCGGCAGAGCTGTAAGAAGCGAAGCTTTTTACAGGTGGGGTASAGAAAAGCTCACACGTCCTACTGTAGGGCTCTAAACTGTGAGACTGAACTAAAAGTCCCCTTTTCCCTCRAAAACCTGGGGGAAAGGGGCGGATCTAAAGGCTCTAACGATGATTGATAGGTTGTTGGCCCTATGATTGCAACCTGGGGAAGCCACCTGATTACAAAAAAGCATAGCTTGAATAGATTCATGCAAACTAACAGTGCAAGAAAAAGAATCAAATCTCCTGGCACAGCCGTGCCAGCACAGGCACACTTCTTGTTAAAGGTTAAAACTTCAGTAACGCTTCAAAGAGTTTGAATCTTGAACTTATCTGCATCTCCTTCTATGAACCAAACCAGTGCAGGCATTAAGATCTGCTTCTGCTGGGGAGGCCTTCTCTAGCTCCCACCACCATCTCAAGCCCGGTTAATAGGGACGAGAGAGAGGGCCTTCTCGATGATGCTCCTCGGCTCTGGAATACCCTTCCTAAGGAAATTAGATTAGCCTCCTCTCTTCAGGCTTTCGGGGTCAGTCTAAACACATGGCTTTTCGGAAAGGCCTTTGATCCTGAGTAATCCATGGCCAATGTGATGAATCATTGATAGTGCTGGCCTGCACTTTGATTGATTGTTACGACAGATAGCCGTCCTACAGATGTCACTGCATTTTAGGAATTTTATAATTTTCTATTTATTATAATTTTATTAATGAGATTTTTATGCACTATTATACTTATGTCATTATAATTATACTTTTGTATTGTTGTCTGCATGTGGCACTTGGAATGCTTCTGTGAGTCTCCCCGAGTCTCTTTGGGGAGATGATGTCGAATCTAACTATGAGGTACGGAGAGAGTTTCAAATCAACTTTTAGTGTTGGATAGGAGAAGTCGGTGTCTGTCCCTAAAAACTTCCCTCTGACAATTGTAGTCCAAACTTTCATCCTGAAATACACTTCATAGGAAGCTGTAAATGCAAACATCCTGAAATACACTTCATAGGTAGCTGTAAATGAAAACAAAAAAACCTGATTTTTTATTCCTGTTCTTGATTCCTTATGTTTATTTGCATTTGATAATATAGGTCACCACTCTACCCACACTTATCTGGCACTTAATATTACTGACCTTAAGGAGGGATCATTCTTTTATTAACTAATACTATTTTTATTGATAGAAAGTAAAATAGTAATACAAGTATAATAAAGTTATATATAATGTTATAATTTTTTAAAAAGACACTCTACTAATCTCCTTTCTAAATAGTACCAAAAAAACTAAAATAGTATCATCCTGAATAGATATGTATAAGATTAAGGAGCCCCGGGTGGCGCAGTGGGTTAAACCCCTGTGCTGGCAGAACTGAAGACCGAAAGGTCGAAGGTTCGAATCCGGGGAGAGGCGGATGAGCTCCCTCTATCAGCTCCAGCTCCTCATGCGGGGACATGAGAGAAGCCTCCCACAAGGATGATAAAAACATCAAATCATCCGGGCGTCCCCTGGGCAATGTCCTTGCAGACGGCCAATTCTCTCACACCAGAAGCAACTTGCAGTTTCTCAAGTCGCTCCTGACACGACAAAAAAAAATCCTCAGAGGTTGTGAGGTCTGTTGGAAACTAGGCAAGTGAGGTTTATATATCTGTGGAATAATGTCCAGGGTGGGAGAAAGAACTCTTGTCTGCTGGAGGCAATTGGCCACTTTGACTAGCATTTAGTGGCCTTGCAGCTTCAAAGCCCGGCTGCTTCCTGCCTGGGGGAATCCTTTATTGGAAGGTGTTAGCTGGCCCTGATTGTTTCCTATCTGGAATTCCCCAGTTTTTTTGTTTACTGTCCTGATTTTAGATGTTTTTTTAATACTGGTAGCCAGATTTTGTTCATTTTCATGTCCTTCCATGTGTCAACACGTTGTCTGTGAGCAAACAGCTTCTTTCTTTTCCTCTTCTCACCAAGACAGAATTACCCAAACTGGAACATCGGGAACCGGAAGTATAGTTTGCAATCAACAGAGCCTCTATGGCCCCTCGTCACTCCGCCTTGGGGATTTCGCGCATGCTCAGTCAGACCCGTTGGCTTTGCCTCTCCGTGGGCGACGGTGGCTTAGCAACGGCAGTGGAGTGCTTCCGGGTCAGGTCACGGCCGGTTTCCCCTTCTCCTTTCTTCCTCTTCAGTCTCGCTAGCGCTGGAGTTGCGGTGAGTATGGCTGAGGCGGCTCTTCTTATTTGGTTGTTGTTTTTGATGAGTTGGCCTTCTTCCTATCAGCTTTTTTCACTATTCACATTTACAACAATTTATAGATCAGGCCTGGGCAAACTTGGGCCCTCCAGGTGTTTTGGACTTCAACTCCCACCATTCCTCACAGCCTCAGGCCCTTTCCTTTCCCCTTCACCCTTACGCTGTTAGGAATTGTGGGAGTTGAAGTCCAAAATACCTGGAGGGCCCAAGTTTGCCCAGGTCTGATCTCTTGAAAGGGGAAATATGATGACACCGATAATACTGACTTTAGTCTTCAATTATATATATATATATATATATATATATATATATATATATATATATACACATACACACACACATATACATATAGATACATATACAACACATTCACAAAACCACATATAGCCCCCGGTGGCGCAGTGGGTTAAAGCACTGAGCTGCTGAGCTTGTTGATCGAAAGGTCGCAGGTTCGATTCCGGGGAGCGGCGTGAGCTCCCGCTGTCAGCCCTAGCTTCTGCCAACCTAGCAGTTTGAAAACATGCAAATGTGAGTAGATCAATAGGTACCGCTCCGGCGGGAAGGTAACGGCGCTCCATGCAGTCATGCCGGCCACATGACCTTGGAGTGTCTACGGACAACGCTGCTCTTCGGCTTAGAAATGGAGATGAGCACCACACCCCCAGAGTTGGACACGACTGGACTTAAGTCAGGGGACCTTTACCTTTACCTATGTAGACCATACACACACATACACACATTTATACACATTTATATATATATATATATATATATATATATATATATATATATATATTATTTTACACACACACACATACATACACACCTACATTATATATATATATGTGTGTGTGTGTGTGTGTGTGTGTGTGTGTGTGTGCTTACAAATGAGACTCTACCTGCCCTTCCAAGTTCATGTCGTCTTCCACTTTTTTGACTGCAGTCCCCATTTTGATTCATAACTTGAGCCAAGTTACAGGAAATCTTATTTTTATTTCAATGTTACTATTATTTATTTATACATACCCCTAAGGGAGAGAATAAAATAATAATAATAATAATAATAATAATAATAATAATAAACCAGAGCAGTGTGTGAATTAAAACTTAACCTCGGCAGACATTCAAATAAAGTTAAACCATAAGACCAACTCAGGATATGTCATGTGGTGTTTTTGTGAATTTTTACATTGGTTTTGTTGATTGTTTAAATCCTTCCAATGTTTAACCCAGTGGTTCCCCAACCTTTGGGCCTCCAGGTGTTTTGGACTTCAACTCCCAGAAATCCCACCCAGTTTACCATCTGTTAGGAACTGTGGGAGCTGAAATCCAAAACACCTGGAGGCCCAAAGGTTGGGGAACCACTGGGTTAAACATTGGAAGTATTTGAGCAATCAACAAAACCAATGTAAAAATTCGCAAAAACACCACATGACGTATCTGGAGTTGGTCTTATGGTTTAACCTTATTTGAATGTCTGCTGAGGTTAGGTTTTAATTCACACACTGTTCTGGTTTATTATTATTATTATTATTATTTAAACAATCAACAAAACCAATTTTTTAAAAAAATACACGAAACACCACATGACGTATACTGAGTTGGTCTTATTTATTTATGTATTTATATTTATATCCTGTGGTATCTCACCATACGGACACTTAAAAACGGCTCACAACTTAAGACATACCTATATACAATAATAAAACAGTACAGGTAAAGATTTCCTCTTGACATTAAATCTAGTCGATTCTGACTTTAGAGGGTGGTGGTTGTTGTTTATTCATTCAGTTGCTTCTGACTCTTTATGATCCCATGGACCAACCCACATCAGAGCACCCTGTCAACCGTGGCCACTCCCAGTTCCTTCAAAATCAAGCCAGTCACTTTAGCGGGTGGTGCTCATCTCTATTTCTAAGCTGAAGGGCTGACATTGTCCATGACTGCATGGAGTGCCATTACCTTCCCTGCCAAAGTGGTACCTATTGATCTACTTACAATTGTCCTGATACTTTACTTGTACTCAGAGCAGGGGGTTGCTGTTTGGGCAGAATACAAAGAAGTGGAATGGTTTCAGTTTGGCAACTTTCCCTGATCCAGTGTTTTCATTGTCTACCCTGAAATTATGTAAATTGTATGTGGTGTTTATTTTTATTTTCTTAATGTCCAATTGGAAACCCATGTTTGCACTTTCTTCCTTGATTTTCCCCTTTCCCCAGTAGTCATTCCAAGCCTTTGATATTCCCTGTAAGTAATACAGTTTTGTTTGTATGTCTTAGAATCATAGAGTTGGAAGAGAGACCACACGGGTCATCTAGCCCAATCCCTTTAAATTGTTGATGCTTGTTCCTCCTATTTGTACAGCTCTTCCCTCAGAATCCGGATTTGCATATGATAAATTCAGCATACCAGTTAAAAAATACCGTGATTTTTTAAAAGCTACTGGGCAGCAACATTTGAGGGGTAACACTGGTAAAGACTCACACAGAGGTAATAGCTCTAAGGACACCATAACTAATACTTGTTAGTGTTATATATAGAAGAAGGCCATGGTAAATGTCTCCTGGAGCCCTCTGCCTTGACAACCCAATGATAAGACAACCCAAAATGAAATATATACATCTTTGAAATACTTATGAGTAGTTATGGTTTCAAGGAAGCTGCCTGATGTAGCCAGAATGGAATTTTGTTTGCACAGAGTAAATTATAAATCACTCCAGGTGAGTAATATGCTATCATAACCAGAGCTATAATTGTGATTTACATCGCATAAGACATTGTTCTGTCTCAGAACTGGCTAAAGAAGCTCTTAAAACTGATTGTTATGATCAGATTGAATCAGGTTGAGGTATATGTTGCTCCTTTCAAATCTACTCTATTCTTTAGTGACTCTGGTTTATGGAGTGAAGGGATCCATAGACATGTGGATGTTTAACTGCTAAATAAAATACTCAGGTGCTCCTAGAGGGAGCTCAGACCATTTCTGCTTGTTACCAGTTGATCAAGCAATTTGTGGTGGGAGATTAATGAAATTAAGGGGAGAAGGAATCAGAAAATAGCAAGCAGGGAAACAGGAAGGTCTTTACATAGCCCTTTGTAGACAGTGACAAACCTACGGCCCTTCCACACAGCCCTGTATCCCAGGTAGGAAATCCCACAATATTTGCTTTGAACTGGATTATCTGAATCCACACTCAGATCATGTGGATTTTCTGTCCTGATATTCTGGGATATAGGGCTATGTGGAAGGGCCCAACATGGATGTCTATTTGAAGACAAAAAAATAAATGAAATTTCCCCACTTTTAATTCTTTGGGTTGGTAAGAGACACTGACATATCCAATCAGAATCTGGCAGAAAATATTTTGTGTGCATTTTGCATAGGTAGGTGAAAGCTGATTAAAGTTTATCACTTCTTATCATAAAAAGGATCAGTAAGAACTGAGTAGACGTTTTCTTTCTACAGCTTGTCAACAGAAGACTTATAGCCATTTTAGTTAAAAAAAATAATGGATATAAACAGGTGTCATCTCGGTGAGTGCTGTTGTCAGCAATGATGGGTCTGGAAAGTTGTAAAATAATATAACTGATATATTTAGCCCAGCAAAACAATATTTTCTATTTCAGATGTCTCAAGACATACCTGTAAGACTGGTTGGATGCTTTCAGCCCCCTTGCTGTCTTACTCCTACATCTCTTAGTAGTATTTTATTTTTTCCCCTCTATCCTTGCAGATCTTTCCTTTAACCAATGTCAGGAGATGGTGATGGTGCCCTTAGAAGTCCCTCTGAGGGATCTTTATCAGGAATTGACATCCTGCCAGATGAGTCAAAGTATGTTTGCACACTGTCTGCAGAGCTTATTGCCAAAGCACGTGAAGAGCTGCAGGAAAAACCTGAATGGCGGCTTCGAGATGTTCAAGCCCTCAGAGACATGGTGTGCAAAGACTATCCTAACTTGGGAACCTGTCTAGATGATGCTTTCTTGCTCAGGTTCCTTAGAGCCAGAAAGTTTGATTATGATCGAGCCCTTCAGCTTCTTGTGAACTACCACAGTTGTAGGAGAAGTTGGCCAGAGGTTTTTACAAACTTGAAACCATCTGCTATAAAGCCAGTTTTAGACTCTGGTTTTGTCACTGTGCTTTCTCACCTAGATGATGAAGGGCGCCATGTTGTCTGCATTCGACCAGGTATGATTAACATGTCATTGGTTATCCTTCTACAGTATTTCTTGAAAGTATCTGCTTTTCCTTTTGAGGTAATAAATTGCTCATATGATTTCTGTTGTCTTGGTCAGTATTACAAATTGTGTGTTGTGTAGTAGAATTTCTAATCAAATTAGATGGAGGTTTCATAGCAGAATATGATTCCCCCCCCCCCCCCCATTACTTAAGATTTAATCTCTTTTCTGCCCCCTTCTTTTTCTCTCTCCACTGGATAATTAACCAGTGTATTGGTGTTTTTTTAAACCATTAGGCAATTTTTAAATATAAATTTTATCTGTTTATATTTAATCTTTTAAATAAATATCTGTTGTATGTCATATTGGGCTCCCTGAAAGGTTGGGACATGATAAAAGCAATAAATTTCTGTAAGCTTCAACCTTCATCTCCTCAAAGATAGGTTTGGTGTTTACTTCAGAAATCCAAGCATATGGAATATGAAAATATATACAGTTGGCAGTGGATATTTTTAATAAGAAAACTTATGTGAAGAAGGACCTCAATGATTAAAAGATGGCTAGCATCTATAAGGCATATAGAACATTCAGTCTGGGAATGTACTGTAGGTTTTCTGTTCAGTTTTGTAACTTACCATCTCTGTCTTATAACCATAGACAGATGGACACCAAGTAACTATCCGATTACTGAAAACATTCGTGCCATATACTTAACCTTAGAAAAGCTCATACAGTCTGAGGAGACCCAGGTGAATGGAATTGTAATCCTTGCAGACTACAAAGGAGTCAGCTTATCAAAGGCATCTCATTTTGGTCCCTTTATAGCCAAAAAAGTGATTGGAATTCTTCAGGTAAGATCTGAATTGCTAGAGGATGAAAATATATGTGTAGTATTAATGATTGCATCTTCTTACTTGTTGTCTCTTAGTGGTCCAGGTCTTTTGTTTTCTCTAAAATACATTTCTTTGGAGGAAGACTCCGAATGCTAGCATACTTTTGCAAAGGAAAGCATAACATCATATTTGTATTCCTTGCTCCATTTAATAAATGGCATATCCCAACTTACTTTAAAGCCTCAAAGTTGCATCATACAGGCATTCAGTGCTTCAACATGAACAGGTAGGATTGGAGATGCATCAGATAGTATTTTCCCCAGAAATTGGGAAATAAAATAATTACAGAATCACCGGGATCTCTAGAGGACCCCGCTCCTCAGAGCTCAGCAGTAGTGTAATTATTGTGCACCTGGTTGGGGGGGGGGGGGGCACTAGCCAGACCTTCTTTTGTCCTACCTTCTCACATAATGCCTTTAGGAAGTGGTTCTGGTGCTTTACAGTTAATTGGGAGGTGGCATATGGGTCAGTATAGCAAAAGATCTGTATGCAGATATTTTACACTGTGCACAGGGGATGTTGAATTGAGGCCAAAATCAGAGCCCTAAATTAAAATGACAAAAAGCATGCTGGTTCTGATTTTGATATTGGAAACTAAACAGCTAGTAAACGTATAGCCAAGGCTGAAGTTCTGCTCATTGTGATAATACTACTTAATTTCCTTGCAGACAGCCAATTCTCTCACACCAGAAGTGACTTGCAATTTCTCAAATTGCTCCTGACATTAAAAAAATGCTAATGGATGCAGACAGGTTATTTTTGTAGTACTCAGCTGAATTTCATGGAGCTGTAGCTAGTATGAACTGCCTCCTGTTACAGCTGAAAAGTTAGTGATTTTGTGGTGAAAGAGATACTCCTGAAGAAAAAGAGGGGAGAAAGCAGATAATATCAGTTATGTGTTTGGAAATAGGCTATCCGTTGAGTTGGTGACCTTGCTGACAGTAAAATGGGACAGTAAAATTCAGAATTTTCTTCAGAAAACTTTAAAATAAAGAGGATATCTGCTTAGCAAGTCTGTATGGCAATATCACCAGAGTGTTTTTCAAAAACCTTAGGAGCAGTGCACACTTGAAATACACAGAACACACAATTTCCTAGTGGTTGATAGGCATTTCCTAGTGGTTGGTTACCAGTTGGTAACTGCAAACTAAACCATATGACCCCTTTGTTTGGTATGCTTGTATGTTACAACCTCGGTGCCAATGGCTTATGATGTGGGTGATGTATGCGCTCATATGTAGTAGACTGTCAACTTATGGGCACTTGTGAAATTCATAGTGTTTTCTTTGAATGCAATTTTCCTGCATCTTCGCAAGGGGTTGGACTGGATGGCCCACAAGGTCTCTTCCAACTCAATGACTGAATGATTCTATAATTCTATGACTCTTGGGCAAGAAATATTCAGAGATGGTTTCGGCAATCCTTTTCTCTCAAATATAGTCTACAGTCTTGGCATTCATTGGTGGTCTCCAGGTACTCTGCTTAGCTTCCAAATTCAGTACCTGTGCCCTTAGAGTATTTAGAGTACTACTGAGGGACACATAAGACTCTAAACCTGTTTCCTTTTCTTTTTTATAAGGATGGTTTTCCTATTCGAATAAAAGCTGTCAATATCATAAATGAACCTCGCATATTCAAGGGCATTTTTGCCATCATCAAACCTTTCCTCAAGGAGAAAATAGCAAATCGGGTGAGTGCTCTTCATGTTACCTGGAACAATACCAATGATGTCCTAAGGGTTACAGTAAGGTAGGGCTCTTGTCTGTAAATCTGTGTTGGAAGCAGGGTTTCTTTCAGACAATGTTGCTTCCAGTATTATCTGCTAATGCTTAAAGTTATGGCTTCAAAAAAGAGGTGGCGGGGTACCACTGACCTGTGAGTTTTCCAGCCTCCTCTGAATCCATTCTCTTCAGTGTTTCACCATCCCACTCCATCCACTGGATGCATAAAAACACCTAGAGGTGCTTCCTAAGGACAACATCAGTTAAATGTTAGGGTCCAATCTCTTTCTCCATCTAAAATGAACGACCAGGGGACGCTGATTTTGTAAGAACTAGATGATGTACATGAATTTCAGACTTCCTTATTTCTCTGTACCTCTTCTTGCCTTCAGCATACAATTCAGTTTTTCCTTTCCAAAAGTGATGTGCAGTAATTGGGGTATTGTGTGTCCTCTGCGTTTCAGCATCTATCCACCATCCCTTTTATGTCCTCATTCTGGACCTTTTAGGAAGTCCTGCTCCTACCTTTTCCTTGGAAGTTTTGAATTTGTCAAGTACTGACAGTAGGATATAAAACTACTTTAATGTTCACAGGGGCTGTTTAAATTACCTCTTTAAATGCAGTAGAGGTGATTGCAAGATTGGGAGCTCTTGTAACTCCTGCGGATCAGTCCTTGGAGACTAGTGTTGCTCATGCCAACCATTGTCTGACTTTGAAACCCAACATTGAGTGTATATTTCAGAAATATCATGATTAATAATGGGTGTGTGTATATCCTATTTTGACTGAAGCACCAAAGGCTATTTTCTAACCTCTTGTGCCCCATCCAGAAGCTGGCAAGCAACATGAGGCTACTGCTATGATGGAGTGCCAGCTTTCACCCAGAAAGGGAGGGAGGGCAGCAGAGATCCCCTGATGGGCCATGTGTGAGACTTACAGAGGAACAGCAGCATTATTTTTCTGCTTCTCTCTCCTCAACTGCATGGGGCATCCGAGGTAGTTACACCACCCAGTTGCCTCTCTCCCTGTTTCAAATCCACAATCATTTAATTGTCATTGTAATGCTCTTATAGGTTTGATGGCTGTGTGGGTGGAAGTTGGGCTTAGAGCTGCATGCAGGGAGAATGTACACTCTGAGCTCATCATCTAGGAATCTGGGCTTATAAATCCCATTTTAGAGTTGGAATTTCTCTTCTTTTTCTTAGTTTTTTCTTCATGGGTCAGATCAGAGCTCGCTCCATCGCAACCTTTCTCCAAGGATCCTTCCGGAAGAGTATGGAGGCATTGCAGGGAAACTGGATATCTCTACCTGGAATGAGCTGCTGCTTGCCTCAGAAGATGATTTCCTGTATGACATGTCTCACCTGGCTATTTCCAGCGACTATATGCCTCATGACCCATTAATGAGTGGGGAGATAGATGAGAAGCAATGTGATGACTCTTTGCGAAGCTTGAAAACACAACTCTACTCCTGCTATTAACATAGCCGTAAAAGCTTCCGAAAGGTCATTCTACTGTCTGCAAAGGGATTATGAATTCTGCCTTGTTTCTTAAGCTGTACCCAGATGTGGAGACAGCTGAGGCACTTTATATTGGAACCAAAGCATATTTTTAAAAGAAGCCGTGGAGGAAGGGTGAGGCTCTGTGGCAATCTGGCAAGAGGGTGCGTTTGGAGCCACTGTCAGTGTTTGGGCCTCTCTGAAATGAATTCCCCCAAATAATTGGCTAATTAGGTAATATTGCTAAGGTTCAAAGCACAATTACTTGAAAGCAAGAAACACTAAAATTAATGGAATGCATTTCCAAATAGATATGGTTACGGTTAAAAAACTAGAAGCTCTCAAAGTGAAAGGGGAAGAAATGCCTTACAATTGAGGGAATATCTTGGGACTGGGCCGGACTGTGCAACTTGAGTGTTTTGGTCTAGCAGTCCCATCAGCAATAGAATATCCAATGTCAAGGGATTATGGGAGCTGTAGATGAAAAACAACTGAGGGATTACATTTGTCCTCTCCTGTCATATTGCCATGTTGCCCCTTTTTCTGTGGAGAAAGGCACAAATGTGGTATATAAGACCAGTTGGTTATTTGATGTCAGATAAACTTCATCCTTTTATATTGGTTGACATGTTTCCTTATACATTCCCTTCACATACAAACATAATAGACTTTTGTTTTTCATATGGAGTATCCCAATTCACATTTACTTGAATCTTGTAATTGGCAGATGCCATGGTTATTGCTATAATTGAATGAAAGCACACACTCATTTTGCATAAAAGAAAGCATCAAGCAGTCTATGACTGTTTTTGATACCCATACTTGAACTTGTAAAATAGTTAGGAAAGGAATTGAAAGGAAAAGAAATAATTTATCATAATTGTTCAGCTGTCAGTTTGTACCCCGCTTTGTTAAAATTACATTTTGGCAGAAGGACAGATAAATTGTTGTAGATCTAGATATCTGTCCTGTAAGAGAAAATATAGTTGTTTAGATACCTTTATTTTGGGGAGATAGCATTTTTGGAATCTCTGCGCAAACCAAATGTAGACAGGGTGTTGTATAAGCACAATTTTTGATTTGTAAATGGCAATATTTTACATACAATGTGCAGTATTTTGTCCATGTTGTTTTGATCTTGGTATCTTTCAGTTTTGTTTCTGAAGTCCCTGTATCAATGTTTCAGATCTTCCTTTATTGTTGGTTTACTTTCAAGGTGTGTTCTGTGTTCACAGTTGAATGTTCATCCCTATTTCATCCTATCAAGTTGTAGATGAAGCATTTGATCCCTTTCTTCCCATGCCTCCAGTGCTACAGGATGAAACTTGGATGGGGATTGGAAACCTACACATGTTGTCTATTGTTCCAATGTCAATAGTGGAGCAAGTCAGCACTCAACAAAATGGGATTTTGATATCACCTTTTAAACAGTTGGAGCTGTTTGTTGAGGTTTTTAACTTGGTGCCAACTACGACCAGAAACTGGTGCTTATTGTAAATATGAACTGTTAAGGTCTTAAGATATACCATTGTATTATCAGTGCCAAACCTGTATTATTATTATTATGAATAACAACCACCTGCCTCTGTATTGCCAAACCTAAAGGACTGCTACATTGAAGTATAGTTCCCCTTTGAGTAGGCGTGTTGTATGGTATAGTAACTATCCAGAAGGCCGTGAATCCTATTTCTAATTCCTACTGCAGGTCTCCATTGTATTGGTTGAATAGGAACAGTATATATTTTCCATGCTTTATACAGCTGCATTACATAGTACTACATGGATATACAGTAATTAGTAAAAAGTGATTTACCCTTTGTCAGTAAGAGAGATACTTGGTAGGAAGACTTCTCAGAGGTGCATAAATAGGAAAATATGGTCGATGGCATGCAAGGTAGTACTTGCCAGATGTCTTAAAAGACTTTTAAGCCACCATGGCTCAATCAAGAATGGTAAGGATTACAGTCCAAGGCTAGAGTCATGCAAGAGGCATAATCTTTAGTTATGCTGCAATGTATATTTTGGGGGTATTCCACATGAAGGTATTTGATACTTCCTTGCACAAGGCACCTTGTCCCAGCTGTGCAGCAACAATGATTAAGGACTGCTGGTGTAACACCATCTTCCCCTTCCACATACACATAGGAGCTGCAGGTGTGTGCTATAGCAGGTTCACTTGCCCACTGTCTTTCCTCGGTACACTAGTCATGCTGAATATATCCAGGAACCCAGCTAGACATGGGCTGGCATGATGGAACTGCACCCAAGAACTCTTTCCCTGTTACGCAGCTGGGGAAGAAGTAGATAAAAGAACATCTTCCACTCCCAGCACTAGTGAACTGGTTGCCAATTTGTTTATTGAATTTTGGCCTAACACAGGTCCCCCAGTCTCTAGACATGACTAATGGTAGATGTAGTCAGTAATTTGAAAAGCTCCATCTTGCCAAAACATGAACATCCTTTTTAGTGAAGTAAAAATCTTTCATGACTGTGGTTGAAGTGTACTGCTTAAAACAGCCATTCTGAATCATAGGTCTATTAATTAGTGTACTGTTCTATAATGAGGTTCCATATGTCAGAAGTTCTAGAAACCAGGTTGGGGTTCTCTAGCCTGCCTGAATATTTGTGAAAAGATTTTCCCAGCTGCTTCCTATATTTTGGTGGCCGCTTTAGACACTTCTTTTGAGCTATTTCTTTTGGGAATGAGGAAGCTCCAAATAGCACTGAATGGCAAGGTTGATCATGTGCAACAAAGAAAAAAAGGTATTAAGTTTGTTACATTTCATATTCTCTTAAATCTTTTTTTCAATAGATGATCCACTGCAGTTGCTCTCAGGTGGAAATATACTGGAATTTCTGATGAGTTGTATTAAATGAAAACAAACTTCTACTAAGAAACTAGTTTTAAGATTTACATTTATTTTTTTTCTCTTGTATTTTCCCAGCATGGCTGGACTAATAAGAATTTCTAAGGTCGTAGAAATAGTTCCCAGTGGGCTCTTTTTTGCAGTACATACAATGTCCTCCCAGCTCTTCTGACAAAAGTCAGAGAAGTCTTAACAGATTTCAGTAGTATCCGCTTTACAAGTTACTTTTGGGAATATTCATTAACTTAGGATAAGCTCATAAAACAAATGTGTATGTATTTTACAATTAAGGCACACACTTATTTTAAAGGTGTACTAGAAAACTGAACATATCGTATGCATCCTCTGAATCCTTGGTTTAAGGACTCTTTGATAGTATTGAAACTTCTAAAAATATCATTCCAAGCAGAGCAAGGGTATTGAAGGAATACCAGGCCTTAAGCAAGACACATTGGTAACTAATCATAATTGTCAAATTGCCTTCTAAGTGTATTGACTTAGGAAATATAAACAAGAATACTATAAATGAAATACTTGAATTTATACTGTGGATTGGACTAGCAGCTGAAAGCCTGATGTTTTTCCAGAGGTTGTTGAGGTGCTTTGTTTCTACTGGTCGGTCAGCTTTGACATGTTTCTCAGTAATTATTCTATATGAATTTGTTTTTGTCTTTTGCAGTATGTAGAATTCAGATGTTAGGTTGAAGCAGACACCTTTTGAGAATTTATTTTTATATTGCACTTTATACAATGATTGTTCTCAGTGTAACTGTATGCATGTGTGGATATTAAACAATTCTACCGTGAAGCCGCTTCTCCCTAGTAGCTTCAAAGGAACATTTGGTGCTCCCTCATTTCATCAGGTTAACATTCCAAGAATGCGACCCTACATGGCATGGGCAGAGGGCAAGTGGTTCATTTGTGTTAGTTTCGGCTGTTTTCTCCCCATGACAGCAGGCACCTTCTGATAGCTGTTGCTTGTTTGTTGTTGCTGGAGAGCTGCAGCATCCCAGCTAGTTGTGGCCTGGGCAACTGCTCTTCTCACCCAGAGATTAAATGGTGAATGAAGTGTGCTCCAGGTCTTGGAAGCTGCCTTCCAACTGGTGGCCATAGCATTTTGGTAGAAGGGATCAAATATCCCTTTCCTCAATGCTTGAAAAGGGACACACTCCCACACAATACCAATTTATGGTTTTTCTTTTAATTGTGTCAGAAGTGACTTGAAAAACTGCAAGTTGCTTCTGGTGTGAGAAAATCGGCCATCTGCAGAGACGTTGCCCAGGGGACATCCGCAGGGTTTTGCCATCCTGAGGGAGGCTCCTCTCATGTAGGAAGCTGAAGCTGACAGATGGGAGCTCACTCCGTCTTGTGGATTTGAACTGCCGACCTTCACGTCAGCAGTTCAGCTAGCACAAGGGTTTAACCTATTGCACCAGCGCAATTCCAAGTTATGTCAACATACACGACTATTGTGACTCTGGCAAAAATGTAGCAACAAGTGCAGTTTAAGACATTATCCAAAATAGAGCTTTTCACTATGTTTTTGGAAAATGATAAATGCATTAAGGACTACACACAAACCCATCCCAAGAAAATAATGGGGCTGGAGTTGGAGTAACAAAAAGCAATCATGGAGTTCCATTTCAGCCCCCAAAACTATATCCAAGAATAGTAACAACTGGAGCAGGCACATAATGTAGCGCAGGGGAATGTACTTTTTAACATATGTGCCTGATGAAGCTTGACATCACATACATTTTGTTATGTATTACTCTTAATAATGAGTTAGAGGGCAAAAGGAAAGTATAACTTAATAAAACAATACTGAACACAATTTAATCAAACATATTTATAGTGCAAATATTAAATGTCAAGATGGACAAATGGTCACTGTCTTTTACAAGCATTGGTCGTATTAGAAAACAGCACTTCAAGAAACTTCATTTCAATAATTTGTTTAAAGCATACTGAATATAATGAAATCAACTGACAAATAGGACAGTTTGTTTCCTACAGTGATCTAAAATTGCTAATTCTAACTCACAACATCGAACACACTGTTCTCTATTGAGAAAAGCAAATTTTACCCATTAAAAAGAGCACTCTTAGACACATTTCCTGGAGTGGAATGTACACTTGCAGTATGTCTTTCATATCCATATGCTGAAGCATTAGAACTTTTAAAATATATTACTTTGCATAATAATAATAATAATATATGTGTGGTGTTTACAATATAGGCATTTACAAAACTTTAAACAGCAAAGCTGTAATAGATTAATTGTAAAGGCTAGCTTTGATTTAAACATATCAAGATGTACACATTTTAGATCTTGCATTAAGCATGAAATATGCGAGCAGCTTTCTGTTCATCTGTATGTTGCAGGAGAGACGACTGGAGTCTTGGCTCCAAGAAGCAATACAGAACATTTGGCTTTCAGCAGAGTGAAACGTCATGTTTCTATGCTTTCAGAGAAATTATCATTTAACTGAAGTCCCGGTTGGTTAGGACGAGAGGTGCCACTAAGCTCCAGAGGTAAAGGAGGAGACAGACCCAGCTTGAGGAGATCTTCACCCAGACAGCTGGCCACTTACTTGTCAGAGTTTTGGTTTCAGCATCAGGGCTGCATAATGAATAAAAGTAGTAAAGGTATAAACCTATAGCTGGACATCTCATTAACACTAAAGAGAAGAAAAAATGCCAGAGGTTTTTCTTCTTCTTCATTTTTTTTTTTTTGCACGATAGAAAAGGTAAAACTGATTTTATAATTACAAAGGTGTTTATTTTAGGACTGCTATTTGTAAGGCATTGGGACTCAACATTGAAAACAATCTTAGAAACATAACTGGTATCCTATTAGATTTGAGTCCTCATAATTCTTTCCCAGTCACATTTGCAATCCATACATTATTATGGCTTTTATTTTTAGCCACTTTGAGTTATTATTGTTAATAATACAGAATGCCCCCAAAACCTTAAAATCCAGCCACGTGTCACAAAGGATGGTGTTTGCTGCACCGGTGAGAAGTATGCTAAAGGATGATGCATCCAGTCCCTGTCACAGTTTCTGCAAGTGCACCAATGACTTACAATGGGACCCCACAGTGATCCTTATTTATGACTGGCACATCATTGCTGCTTAGGGGGTGGGGGGACTGGATGTGCCATGCTTCAATGTCCCACTTGCCCTCGGTGCAGCTGGCTAAATTTTAAGCTGGGCTTTAAGGGTCAGATTGAAAGATGGAGTATAACTGTGACATTGTGGCTTGATGTCTGCTGCAGAATTTCATCCTAGGTCAGTGGTTCTCAACCTGTGGGCCCCCAGGTGTTTTGGCCTACAACTCCCAGAAATCCCAGCCAGTTTACCAGCTGTTAGGATTTCTGGGAGTTGAAGGCCAAAACATCTGGGGACTCACAGGTTGAGAACCACTGGCCTAGGTCTTTAATTTGAGAATACCTGGGACTTTAGAATTAATCTGAGGCAAAGAACTGCTTTGTTTTCTGAAAGCTCAGGTGTCTCCCACTATTATCTACAAGACAAGGGGGGGGCAAGTCTAATACCTTTTCGGGGGGCTGAACTGAATTAACTCCCTCCAACAAAATAATTGCTGGAAGTTAGTGAAAACTTTATATTAAAATGAGATTAATTCATCCACAAAGAAAAAAAAAAAGGAGTGGAGCCATGTTCCCTTCAGGTTTTCCTGCAAGACACTGCCAAACAGGAACTGCAGTCTCCACCCAACTCAAAGCTACTTCCCTTGCAAACAAAGGTGTGCTGGGTGAAAAAGTGAAGTTATCCATCATAGAATGAAACCACTCTACACCAAGCATTTTTAACAGAATTGTAGAGAAATCTCAAAGTATATCACATAAAAAAATTCTAAAACAGATTAAAAGCTTTGGATGGAGGCCCATCAGATTCCAATATTGTTCATTTATCTCCACAATGGCAATGTTTTGTTCTAGATTTGTGCAATTAATTTTGCCTGCAGCTTGCTGTGCCTAACATCTGGATGGCTACAAGGTTTTTCTTTAATAGGGTATGTTTAAAAAGGACTTAGTACAGAACACACTTCTATCACATGTAAATGATGCCAAAGACCAATGCACTGGCGACAAGACAACCATCTCCAAATAAAATGCCCCCGCAGCATTCTTACCTGTACCAGTTGGTAAGTGTCATCATGATATACAGGGAGGCAAGAAACAGCATGGTGTGGAAGACACTATAGCTATACTGGACAGCTTCCTTTTCATTGTCCAAGACCCTCTGGACTTCACCATCTTCTACATCACCTCCAGCCGCACCAGGAGTGTCATCCAGAATGACGCTGTCACTTACAGACAGGGTCAACTTGTTTACTTGGCTGTTGCTAGAAGAGCGGATGCTGCAAAACATTCAACAGAACTTTCAAAATTTTCAAATTGAAAAAAGCTGTAACTAACCAGAGAGTTGCTTAGCTTCATAAGCATTCCAGAATATACTAATCATTAGCACAATGTTATTTTACTAGCCATGCCAAACTTGCCTTGACCATATAAGCTGCTTGGCAAAATGACTGCAGTAATTATAGGCTACTTTGAGTTCTTCAGAGGAAACATGGATTACAAATGTAACAAGAACATTTACAAACAAAACTTTAGAACAGTCAATGGAGACAAGACTACTGGACAAAATTATTTACAAAAATACACTTGTTAAGTTAAAATGCAGATAGAATTTGAAATCTCACTCAACTGCATTATCAGTGCCATTAAAGTTATGTCCTACACTAATTCTGCAATCACGCATTACACAAAGCAGCGGTGGATTATGTGTGGCTGCTTGCAAATAGTAAATACCAATCTTAGATGTTACCTGGAATACAGAAGACAAAGTACGAAGATAATCAGCCCAACAATGCTTTGTGCGTCCCACCACTGTGGGGATTTCAGTGGTGCAGAAGTGGGAATGACAGGTACAGCAGTGGTATTCACTGGGAGAGCAGTAGGTGCAGCTATTTGGCTGATGATATTCAGAAGACTTGGATTACAGTGGCGGTCTGAAAAATAAATTCCACAAAACAAGCACATGAAGAAAAACCATCTGTATAAGCAATCATTTGTTGCTTGAGAATAGTGTTTGCTATAGCAAACGCCCTCTAGCAATGCAAGTGGGGAAATCTTTTCAAGTTAGGATCCAATTTCTCATTTCAGAATAGCTTCATAAGGGTATACTGCAGCACTAAAGGACATTCAGGCTAAAACAAAGTGGGACCAATTCTTATCACTTTGGATGTTTCCGTACAACGCACTAGAATTTATGTGTGTGATTGTGGGCGAGTGACACTCTCTCAACCTTAAGAAGGCAAATTTGAATCCCCTTGAAACAAATCTTGCCAAGAAAAACTCATGATAGGGAAGTTGGAAATGATTTGAAGGCACAGAGCAACATGCAAAGCACAGTTCAGATCTGTATCTGCGACTGAAGGAGGAGATAAATGCAAATACTTAGAAAATATTCCCTTACGCTCATTGCTGAATATAGATGAAAGTGAAAGCAGATCATAAAAAGGCGAGAAATGCTTTGGGCATAGTCATGGTTTCCAACCAATTTACAAATATGTCCTTTCAAGATAGCTACTTCAAGTCCATAGTTACCAATGTCTAAGTCGATAATTCTCTAGCAAAGTACACACTAATCTCATACTTTGCTATGAACTGTGAAAGTTTGCAAAGCACATCCTGCTCCAGTTTTCAAAACTGTTGAAAGGCTCCTTTTTTATCCTTCCTTCTTCTTCTTCTTATTATTATTATTATCTTTATTTGTACCCCGCTAACATCTCCCAAAGGACTCGGTGCGGCTTACAAAGGCCAAGGCCCTCAATAAAACAACAGCATAACAAAGACATCTTCATTGCAACTACTATTTTGAATACACATATTTTTTTACATATGGGAATGCTTACCAGGCTCATTGGACATGGCAGACCAAGTGAGGTACATGGTGTAGAGAGTAATGACAGAAGACTGGAGAAGGCCAGAATGAGGCTGATTTTCCTGTTGCGTCAACCAAATGTAAGCATCATGATAAAGAGTTTAATGTAAGTCACAGTGTTGCTCAATAGTTTAACATTTAAAAACTTAATCGGAAATATTTCAGTTCTACTACAACATCAATACTGAATGGGGAAAAAAGAAGCATAAATACATATTGGGGAATTTATGAGCATCGTGCAAGCATTACATTTACCTATTCCTCACAAATATTAATCTTATATATTTAAATACATGCAGAAAATGGCTCTTTCAAAATCCCCAGATCTGTTTCCCTTTTATTGAGTAATTCCTGCCCTGACTAGAATGGCTACTGTCTAACCATTTGTTTCCTTTGTTCCCTGCCCTCCTTCTACAACTAAATCCAGCATCTCCTTTCATGCTACATCTGAGCATCAACAATTTTAGAACCCATATTCTGTTAAAATTTTAGCTATTTATATTTCAGTGAAATAGCAGACTGTATGACCACTAAATTTAAATGCCTTGTACATCACATGGGTACAGCCTTAGTTAAAATAAGTTTGCAACTAGTTTTACCACAAGAAGCCATAAACTGTGTCTTCTGCCCATGTATTTGGAGGGCAAGTATCACACCTATCTAGACAAAGTTGTCATCTAGTAATGTACAAGCCCAAGTATGTCAGTCACTTCTCTCATGTATACCCCACACAAAAACCCCATGGAAAAAATCTTCATACCTGGACTTTAGGAAGGATTGATGTGATAGATACAGCAATGCACAAAATCATATTAAAGCTGATGAAAAACTTGTTCTCAATACAACCCTCAGGTTTTGTGTAGAAGACATAGAAGAGCACAATGGCAATGAGTGACAGGATATAGTTCAAGCATGTGCAGGACAGCAGAGCTGAAGAAAAAGAACATCATTACAAAATGAAGCATGCTATACACATTTTTTTTTACCCTATTCAGACTGTTTAATTTTTAGAAGAGAGATCTTGGGTTTCGACTCTAAAAGGTCTACTTAAGCTACAAGTAAATTACTGTCTAAAATGACTACTTCTATGGCTGCCTTTCTAACTTCTCCATATTAAAAATCAAGATTCATGATTTCATTTTGATTGTCACGACATCCTACATAATACCCAGAATAAATCTGCCTGCAGTTGTATTTCAGCAATGGTACCTGCAGATGCTATGTAATTATATTTCGATTACTAAATATCAAAACTGTCACTACCACTGATAAGTTGATCTAACACAGAGGCTGGCTTTCTGTTCAGTAATCTGATGTCATAAGCCAGTGTGCTGAACTCTGAGGGACCAGGTTTCAAGACCCTGCTTTGTTTTCTCAGCCTTAAAGGAAAACAATGGTTACCTTCTCTGCCTCTGATCAAATCCTGCCAAGAAAGCTCAGGCTTGCCTTAAGTCGGAAAAAATTTGAGGACACACAGCAATAGCAAAGCCTAGTTTATGACACTGCAATTATTCCAAAGAACATTAATGTACTCTGAACTATTGTGATAACCAAAATGTATCCCCCATTATTAGTAATTATATTCCCAGCCTTCTCCCAGTTGCAGATTGCACTGAAACAGGCAGCTGTGGTAGAATGAGAAGGTCATTCACCAGTCTTCAGTCATCTTCCCCAGTATGTTGTGGTTGCAAGAGGGCTGGACATGTCAATACTCACTCCCCCACTTTCTAGCATCTCAGAATTGGTTGCATCCAAGGAGAGGGATGCAAACCTCCAAAGATAGGATTTGAAAGGGTAACATTGGAAGACACTAATGTAGCTACAACTACCAAAGAAAGATTTCAGGCAGAGATTTCTACTGAAGCAGAACACAATGTGCTTCCTGCCTCTTGCCCATTTGTGCTGCTCATCAGATAAACACCACTTACCTGCATACCAGCACCTGGGGTTTCCCTCTTCCATTCGTTCAACCCAAGATTCATTCCAGGAATGAGCAAAATCAACAAGCAGAATCAGTTGGATGAGAATGAAGAGGAAGGCACCACAGGTGCCAATTACAAATAATGCTAGAAGGAAGAAGAGAGAGTTAAAGCAAAAGCCTTTAACATGTGAAAGCCTCTAACTGAATATATTTAAATCAAATAGGAAAATGACTGAGTCTTAATCTACAAATTAAATATGTATGGATGTGTATGTTCCTGTGCATGCCTCTCCCCTGTCACTTCCCTACATCTATCAATTCATTAGATCTGCACACATTCCAGAGAGGTAGCTATGTTGGGTTTAGTCAAAACCAAAAGCTTCAAATCAAGTGTATGTATCATTTCCTTTTTGCAAAAACGCACATTGGATTATGTATTATTTATTTATTTCACAGTTTTGTATACCGAGCTTCTCAACCTCGTCGAGAGACTCAGCCCGGTTTACAGCCATAAAAACATATATATTCATTAAAATATCATATATCACAAATTACAAAACAACTTTAAAAACACTAAATATTACAGCATGCCCAGTCAACAAACAAACAAAAAAGGCAAGGCAAGAATTTTGCAGATTTCTTAATAAATAACTTCTTACTTTGAATATCTCATCCATTTAATTATTACATAATTGCCCCACTATTCCCTCAAGCATAGTAAAGGTAAAGGTAAGGGTTTTCCCCCTGACATTAAGTCCAGTTGTGTCTGACTCTGGGGGTTGGTGCTCATCTCTATTTCTAAGCCAAAGAGCCTCCAAGGTCATGTGGCTGGTATGACTGCATGGAGCGCCATTATCTTCCCACAGAAGCGGTACCTATTGATCTACTCACATTTGCATGTTTTTGAACTGCTAGGCTGGCAGAAGCTGGGGCTAACAGCAGGAACTCACACTGCTCCCTGGATTCGAATCTGCGACCTTTTGGGTAGCAAGTTCAGCAGTGCAGCGGTTTAATCCACTGCACCACCAGGAGCTCCCTTCCCTCAAGCATATAGTAGCTTTACTCCATTCTCTTTCACAATCTTGTGAGTTTGGTAGGCTAACCAATGGTGATTAGCTCTAGTTCATCCACTGTGTTTCACAGCTAGGATTAAGGCAAACAAACAAACAAGCAAACAAACAAACCTCATGTCAAAGACTAGGGATGGGTGGTCCCCCGTATGTGGTGAGACTGCAAATCCCAGAAGCCCAAGCCAGCATAACCAATTGTGAGAAATCACTAAGAGATGTCGTTCATGGAGGCTTTTAAATAGAGGCAGCATGGCCACATGTCAAGGGTGTTTTGATTGTGCTTTTTCTACATGACAGGAGGTTGGACTGATGGCCCATGCAGTCTTTTCCATATGCCATCCTGGACTGACATTCCAGCTGCATCACACTGCTTTTAAGGTTAATGATTGAAAATATGCAGGAAATAGCTTTTAAACTGTTTTGTGGGTGGAGGAGAGGTCATCTAAAGAACACAAGTAGGAAATGAGGCCTTTTGAAGCCTATCCCACTATATCTTCCCCACCCCATCTCATTAAACAAGCAATTCAGCAAATGCATAGTTACATTTTGCCTTGCCATGCAGGTAAGTTACAATCATGGTGGAACTTAGGAAGAGTTTACAAGGCACCACCATGTGGCATACAATCATCTGACTTCACCTTTAGTAGAGATTTAATGTCAACATCTTTCCAGAGGGCAAAAGGATGGCATCAACTGGATGCCTTCTATGAAAAAAAAACAAATAAAAGAAAACCACACATTCACACACAATTGAACATGATTTCAATTCTTCAAAAAGATTTTATTTACTTATCCATGAGATCATACCTCTTGTGAAAGGCCCTTCCGGAATGTAAAATGCTCCAACCATGATGCCAACAATTGCAGCTATCTTGAAGAACCAAAATCTATTTTAAAAACACAACAGAAGACTAATTAGCACTTATTTTTCTACAATAAATCCTCTAAACCTAACAAAACTAAGTACTAAGATTATCTAACAGTTATGGGTTAAAAAGGGTAAGTATGCAAGCACACTTTCTTATCTTGCAATCTTATTCTCAGGCATCTGAAGTGTCACTCAGCTGCTTGTGCTTATATTTGTAAGCCATGGCTTACTTTTACATCTGAATATAGTGCAGTCATCAGATCTGACTATCGTGGATTTGATTATTCATGGATTGGATTATAAAATTCATTACAGAGATCTCTAGGTCTTCCAGTGCAATTCTATGGCCAGCTTCCAGCAGAAGCTCACCATAGATTAGTGCTGGAAGACCTAGAAATTCCTAAAGGGGTATATTCTCAGGTTTAAAAATAGCAATTTTGAAAAAAAAATAGCATTTTTCATTTTCACAGAAGTCCTGTGCTTTTAAGTCCAGTGAATGTGAAGAGTTGGCTGTAATTACTGGCCCTTAACAATTAGGTGCATTTGCATCAAACTAAGCATGCATGTCTAATGTTTGTTTTAACTGATTGTAAGTTTATAGTTATATGTAGTAATTAGTTATTATGATTTCTTTGTATGCTGTATGTTGGCACTGAATTTTTGCCATTAATATGTTGTAAACTTCCTTGAATCTCCCCAGGGGTGAGAAAGGCAGTATATAAATACAGTAAATAAATAAATACTGTAGTCCTTTAAAATGAAAGAAAACTCAAAACCTGGCAGATATGCTGAGCACAGGTCTAGTATATATGCTAAACCTCTTTACCTTGGGCTCAAGACAAGATAGACAGGAAAAGCATCCAAAGATTAACTCCAGCCAAAGATGGTATTTATAAGCAAGCAGATTTTCCAATATTTTATTTGTAGCATAAAATTTAATTCTTATTACATAATAAATTATTTTATTTTTAAAAGATAAACTTTAGAAGTTGTCTTCACAAAATTTGAAAAAGGATTATTTTACATTAACTCAGGATTAAAGCAAGCTATTCATTTTCCAGGCAGACTGTGGCCAGGAAATCAGAAGACGCTTACTTCTTGGGAGGAGAGCAATTTCCAATCTCGATAAAATAGTAAAGAGTAGAGACATCACACTGGCAAGAAAGATCCGCCTAGTCAAAGCCATGGTATTCCCTGTAGTAACCTACGGATGTGAGAGCTGGACCTTAGGGAAGGCTGAGCGAAGGAAGATCGATGCTTTTGAGCTGTGGTGTTGGAGGAAAGTGCTGAGAGTGCCTTGGACTGCGAGAAGATCCAACCAGTCCATCCTCCAGGAAGTAAAGCCCGACTGCTCACTGGAGGGAAAGATACTAGAGACAAAGCTGAAGTCCTTTGGCCACATCATGAGGAGACAGGAAAGCCTAGAGAAGACAATTATGCTGGGGAAAGTGGAAGGCAAAAGGAAGAGGGGCCGACCAAGGGCAAGATGGATGGATGGCATCCTTGAAGTGACTGGACTGACCTTGAGGGAGCTGGGGGTGGTAACGGCCGACAGGGAGCTCTGGCGTGTGCTGGTCCATGAGGTCACGAAGAGTCGGAGACGACTGAACGAATGAACAACAACAACATTCATTTTCCACTCAGTTTTAAGCAATGGGTTGGAAATTCATGAAATTCTTCTACGGATAATGGAAAAAAGAATTCTGAACATAGTTAAAAGCTGAAACTAGTGGTTGTTGTTTTTGTCTTGTTTTTTGCCCATGGGAACATATTTATACAGGTCTGGAACAATGAAGACATTTCTATATCCAACTTAAGACACATCACTATAAATGAAAGCACCCTCTCCAATATATTTGGATTATATACTCAAGATAGAATAAAGAGTAGCCTACCCATTATGTACAGCAGCCCTTGGATCTTTACTTGATTTCACTTGTATCATAAGAAGGGCAAAGAGGAAGAAGAATACGGCCATGGCAAAACTGATTCGGTAGACTGCTCTATATCCAACCAAAGCTTCACAGTCAACAATGCCATCACAAAACCCAGGCACCTGAAAGAGAATCGATACAAATTTCCTAAAACTTTGTCACAGATGTATGGATTACATAATATCCACATCTTTTCTATGCTCCATTGTGTAAGCTTAGAGCATCAGAAGGCAGTGCATGTCTTTTATCTTGGTTCTAACATCATTGCTCCAGATTATGTCTTTTACAATCTTGTCAATGTGCTATATAATAATTTAATATTATACTACAACACACAATAGAAAGCAGTCTAGAACACAAAAGCATAGGAGACATTGCTACTAAGAGTTGCAAGGTATTCTTCCTCAAACCCAGAAAGTTCCAAACACCTTTCTCTACACCCCATTCTCATTTCATTCTAAGATTTTTTTCTTCTTTCCCGTATGTAGATAGATTTGTGAACCAAAACAGTTTTCTGATTGAAGTTCCAAAATGTTCTCCCTCTATATCTCGTCTCCCCACTGCCCTCTACAGATGGAAAGAATATTTGAAAATATTTGATAAATGATTGAAAAACATTTCCATCACTTGCTGTAAGGAGATGGGAAACCCACCATCTCAAAACCTTGAGACACCTGTTATGAATGTGGAAATCACAATAAGTGAACATTAATGTTTTTTACGTAACTGTCAAAATTAAGTTTCCATAACATTTTAGAGTATCTTTCAAGACATCCAGATTTAACAGATATGAATGTAAATGAAAACTAAAAGCTGAAGGTTTTGTATCAATATATAGCTAGGTAACACCAGTATTTGGAGCTCACACATTATGAGTAAGTCAGACAGACAAGGTTTTATGAGGCAGTGAAAAATTCATCAAACATAGGTGTGTATTTGGATAGGTAAATAATAGGAATAGCAACTACAGGCCTCAGGGCCAAACAACCTCCCAGTCTAACTACCGAATGGAGAAAAGATGAATTGAAAGAACTGAGTAGTAATCCACTATAACTATTCTATAAGGCATTTTACAGATAACCTCACTCATTTGCTACCAACACAGATGCGACAATTCCCACAGTTAACTAGGTGTACTTTTGACAACTGCTTGTCCTGTTAGTGCAGTCTGTAGAAGTGGACATGATTTTTAAAGAGATAAAACTAATTACATGCACAATGGAGCCTTACTCATCCTGGCTAACAAAAGGAGCCAGAGACAGACTGTTCAAGTAGGTAACAGGAGTGATAAGTGCTTCTTTGTGGGAAAGGTTAGATCTGTTTTCATCTAGCTTTAGGCCTTGTTTTGAGATGAAGAGAGACTTGGTGGAGGATCTATATAGATGAGGAAGTACAACACTCATAGTTCTGTTGGACATCTCAGAAGTTTAATAACACAGATCCGCATATTTTTCTGGAATAACTTGCTTTTCAAGTATAAGACTGAGGGCCTTGTTGCTACAGCAGTTAGAATTCTTCCTAGATGAGATGATGGTAGTAATGCTTGCTTATTCACTTAAGTTAGCCTTTGCAGTTTGTTTTTGTTTTTTTGGTCGTGTCAGGAGTGACCTGAGAAACTGCAAGTCGCTTCTGGTGTGAGAGAATTGGCCGTCTGCAATGACGTTGCCCAGGGGGCGCCCGGATGATTTGATGTTTTATCATCCTTGTGGGAGGCTTCTCTCATGTCCCCGCATGAGCTGGAGCTGATAGAGGGAGCTCATCCACCTCTCCCCGGATTCAAACCTGTGACCTATTGGTCTTCAGTCCTGCCGGTACAGGGGTTTAACCCACTGCATCACCGGGGGCCACCAGCCTTTGCAGTGATTCTCAACCTGTGGGTCCCCGGGTGTTTTGGCCTACAACTCCCAGAAATCTGAGCCAGTTTACCAGCTATTAGGATTTATGGGAGTTGAAGGCCAAAACATATGGGGACCCACAGGTTGGGAACCACTGCTTTAGGGTTTCCTCTGGGTTCATCCTTGTCCTCTGTGCCATTCAAACCATCTAAGAAACCATTAAGGAAGATGATATGAATGTGATAATTCAGAATTAGAAACATGGAAATGACATCCATCTCATTTCAAAAACGCTGCAAATGCCCTGAAGAGTTCTGTGGACCATTAACATACTGAAAATGGGATAATGAATCCAAAACATAGAGAAATGCTTTGATCCTGTCCAGATGTACTGGGGTACCATCTATATTTGGTGGAGTGGCACTTTTCTTGAAGTGCTCACAGTTTAGCGATTTTTACATACAGTTGAGAAAGCTGGACAAGAAATAAGATACGAAGAAATGTGTTGCAGGAGAAGAGTTCTGTAGAAATTGTGAGGATGAGATAGGACTCAGAAGAATGAGCCCCATAAAACAAAGTTTCTCTCTTCCCTCTTGCGTATTTTAAGGAAAACAGAAGTAACATGTTGTTGCTTCTGGTCTTTTTTTGCACGCTATATATTAAAGTGGTAAATCAGTACACAGTCAGAGACAGAATTATGAAACCTCTCAGTACCTTTTTCAGCTGCTTCTCCATTCCTGGTGCCAGCATGATGCAAGCAACAAGAGTACTGAGGAGGAGAAGGAAGGCATAAATAAGCCGAGTCACCAGAGAATTCTTGCTGTTGGGACAACAGCGACACAGCAAACATGATGCACCGCCGCACAGGCAGGGAATCTGCAAAACACAGGTGTCAAGTGGTAAGATTTCATCTTAATTGTTTCAAGTTTATCTTAAGTTGTATATACAAAAACACCTTGTAGCCATCAACTCTTCAAAGCAAGTTCTGTTTCTTTTTGAAAGACAAAGATTTCTGGGCAAAAAAAAAAAAAGGAAAACAAAAGTATCATAAACATGCAACAACTGATAAATTTCCAAATAGAGAATACCACAAATCATTCTCAAGTTTTTACCCGAAGAAATGTGGTGATGTTCCATGATAAATTACAAAAATTGCCTCAGAAACTGTGGCATGGTCACATGACAAATTTTCTTTGCTATAAAAGGTCATGCTAGTGAAAAGTCATACCAATAGAAGGGTGTTGGCTTAAAAACATGGCACAAGCATGCTGTAAATATTCAAGCAGCTAAACCAACAAGCCCAGAACACCTTAAGTGTTATCCTGAAATGTTACGCCTACTCTGAAGAGTATAACTATGAAAGCCCTCTTTGTTTCACTAACTATGCCACTTCTCCTACATTTAAAGAGAGATTGCCAGTTCTGTTGCCATTTAATCTGAACTAAGCTTTCTTGCTCTAAATGCCTCAAGGTCATAAAAGAGAAATAAATGTAGATTATTTCAGAACATGCCATTGCTTTAAAATGCTTGAAATAATTAAAAATCTAAGCAATCTGTTTTCTTTTCCTTCCATGAAGTCATAAGCATATTCAGAAAACCACAACAGTTAGAGCAATAGGGATACAACACAGTCCTTCCACACAGCCATATAACCCAGAATATCAAGGCAGAAAATCCCACAATATCTGCTTTGAACTGAGTTATCTGACGGCCCTTCCACACAGCCCGATATCCCAGAATATCAAGGCAGAAAATCCCACACTATCTGCTTTGAACTGGAATATATGGCAGTGTGGACTCAGATAATCCAGTTCAAAGCAGATAGTGTGGGATTTTCTGCTTTGATATTCTGGGATATAGGGCAGTGTGGAAGGGCCCTGAGTCCACACTGCCATATATTCCAGTTCATAACAGAAAATGTGGGATTCTATTCAGCTGTGTGGAAAGTGCCACAGGTGGACTGTCATGTAAGATTTGGTTTGTAATACTTGTGTATAGTAACATTAACTTGGATATAATAACTAGAATACCAAGGATATGAGTGCCTCAGCAGTCACTTCCTGTCTGAAGAAAAACATTCCTAAAATGAAACCACAAGCCTTAGGAAACATGAAGAAAAGAGAGCAACAGTCTCAATTTTAGATGCATCATTCATAAAAACTGAGCAAAACATTAAAAGTGAAAGTAATTCTATGTTTAGGATTGCAAGCACAGAGCACAGAGGCATCCAGTAAAAAATAAATTAATAACAACAGATGAACAAAATGGGAACAAAATGAGGGCATAATAACTACAATACTGTAAATAAATAAATAAATAAATACTGTAATGTTGGTATTGGGATAGGTCACCAAAACATATCAGGGCTAATAGTCTAGATTTCAGAAGAAGGGGCAGGCAAAACCACCTCTGAAATCCTAAAGAAATCCATGGAGTCACTATAAGTTCACAAGTGACTGGAAGGCACGCACATACATACACACAAGCAAAAACTGATGAAGATATTTATTTATTTATATCCCACTTTCAAAACAGCTTACTATTTATTTACTATAGTTATAAAAAATACACAACAATAAAACAGTATATCATTATAAACAATGATATATGACTAGCTGTCCCCTGCCATGCGTTGCTGTGGCCCAGTCTGGTGATCTCGAAAATAAAGTAATGAGAAAGTGTTGGTTTCTAATATATGTAATTTCTTTATGCTTGTGGGTAAATAGTACTTCTTATTGTTTCTCTTGTCAGTGTTGATGTAGAGATTTTCTGGTTTGCCTATTCTGGAACATGCAACACATTATTGTCCTTCTTTAGGGATCCCTTTCAAATCTATGATATTATATCTGTCATATATGTGTGTGTGTGTGAATCATTTATTTATTTATTTGCTGCATTTGTTGACCGCCGCTCTCAGCCCTAGGGCGACTCGCGGCGGTGTACAACATATAAAACAGTTTACAATAAAGCACAACAAGAAATCAACATATCAATATTACACACTAATCTAAATTACACTAACTAATCCGCACCGTCACAACATAGAATCATAGCCAATCTCATAATCCATATTCCGTTCCAGTTGTCATTACCAATTAATGTAGCACTCAGTTAAATGCCTTCTCAAATAGCCAGGTCTTTAGGCTCTTACGGAAAGCCATAAGGGAGGGCGCCTGTCTGATGTCCACAGGGAGGGTGTTCCACAGCCGGGGGGCCACCACTGAGAAGGCCCTCTCTCTCGTCCCCGCCAGACGTGCCTGTGAGGCAGGCGGGATCGAGAGAAGGGCCTCCCCAGACGATCTCAAGGCCCTCGTGGGCTCATAGGCCGAGATGCGGTCCGAAAGGTATTTTGGGCCGGAACCGTTTAGGGCTTTTCTATATCTATGGATGGATGGCTCTTTGTCAGGAGGGCTTTGATTACATTTTCTTGCCCCGGTGAAGGGAGTTGGACTGGATGGCCTAAGGCTGCATTTCTTAAACCTGGGGGTTGGGACCCCTGGAGGGGGGGTTGTGAGGGGTGTCAGAAGGGTTGCCAAAGACTACCAAAAAACACAGTATTTTCTGTTGTTCATGGGAGTTCTCTGTGGGAGGTCTGGCCCAATTCTATCGTAAGTGGGGTTCAGAATGCTCTTTGATTGTAGATGAACTATAAATCCAGGTAACTATTTATTTATTTACTTCATTTATATACCGCTTTTCTCAGCCCTTAGGCAACTCAAAGCGGTTAACAACAGCAAAAATTCAATGCTAAACATCATAAAAACAATTAAGGGACAGTAGCATAATAAACAATTAAGCATCAATATAACAAATCATTAGCGTCTCATCAGTAGAGTCAAAATCCAATCTCATCATCCGTTATTCCGTGATCCTATGTTCATTACACTGCTTAATCAAATGCCTGCTCAAACAACTAGGTCTTCACTTTCCTCCAAAATGCCAATAGGGAGGGGGCCGATCTAATATCTGTAGGAAGGGCGTTCCACAGCCGAGGGGCCACCACTGAGAAGGCCCTGTCTCTACAACTCCCTAATGTCAAGGTCTATTTCCCCCAAACTCCAGCTGTGTTCACATTTGGGCAAATGGAGTATTCGTGCCAAATTTAATCCAGATCCTTCATTGATTTGAGTCCACAGTGTTCTCCAGATGTAGGTGAACTACAACTCCCAAGGCCAATGCCCATCAAACCTTTCCAGAATTTCCTGTTGATTGTGGGAGTCCTATGTGCCAAGTTTGGTCCGATCCCATCGTTGGTGGGATTCAGAATGCTCTTTGATTGTAGTTGAACTGTAAATCCCAGCAACTACAACTCCCAAATGATGAAATCCATGTTTTTTGAATGATGGTAGTAGTAGGGGTAGTAGGTGTATTGTGGGGTAGTAGGTGTATTGTGTCCAAAATTGGTGGCAATTCATCCAGTGTTTTTTTGAGGTATGTTAATCCCACAAACAAACATTTTATATATATATATATATATATATATATATATATAAACATAGATCAGCAGTATTATATTTATTATATTACAATATTATATATTATTATATTGTATCATAACTCCAGGTGTTTTGGACTCCCAGCTCCCACACATTACATTTGTATTTATTATATATATAATATAAAGATAGATCAGCAGTATTATATTTAATATATTAGTATTATTATATTACAATATTATATATTATTATATTGTATCATAACTTGCCCCCTCTCCAGGTGTTTTGGACTCCCAACTCCCACACATTACATTTGTATTTATTATATATATAATATAAAGATAGATCAGCAGTATTATATTTAATATATTAGCATTATTATATTACAATATTATATATTATTACATTGTATCATAACTTGCCCCCTCTCCAGGTGTTTTGGACTCCCAACTCCCACAATTCCTAACAGCCTACCGGCTGTTAGAAATTGTGGGAGTTGGGAGTCCAAAACATCTGGAGGGAGGGCTCAAGTTTGCCCCTGCCTGGTGTAGAGGCTTAGTGACGTCCGTGGGAAGCGAGAGAAGCATAGCGCCCAGTGGGAGGCCCTAAAGGGAAGGCCTCGCCTCGGAAAGCCCTCTCCCCGCCGCCACTCACCCAGCTGGCCAGGGAACAGACGCCCAGCACGGCCCCCATGGCGATGGCGGCGACCACAACCGCGCAGCTCCCTCCCTTGGGCTCCCCTCAGGACCACTTCCGCTCCCCTTCTGCTCGGCTCTGTAGCTGTTGTTGTCTCCGCCTTGCGACGCCGCTCTGATTGGTTCCCGCTTCAGGCTGCCATGGGGAAAGGGGGCGGGGTTTCCCCAGCCGGCCAATAGGACGGCCTCGCCCTCAATCAGAAAGCGAAAAAGTCATTGCTCTCTGAGATGAGTCAAAGCCGTGACGCAAGCAGTAACTGAAGGCGCTGATTGGATATAATATTTTGAAATGACGGGGCTATTGTCCTGGTCAGACCAATTGGAGAGCCGCATCTCTTTGAGGAGGCGGGACAAACATGAACTTTTCCTTCCACTAGGGGTAAATAGTTGCTATGGCAACAGCCTGCTTCAGTCTCCTGAGAAGGGAGCCTATGAGGCCCCTTCCACACAGCTGAATGAAATCCCACATTGTCTGCTTTGAACTGGGTGATATGGCAGTGTGGACCCAGGGCCCTTCCACACAGCCATATAACCCAGAATATAAAGAAAATCTCACAATATATGCTTTGAGCTGGGTTATATGGCAGTGTGGACCCAGGGCCCTTCCACACAGCCATATGACCCAGAATATCAAGGCAGAAAATCCCACAATATATGCTTTGAACTGGGTTATATGGCAATGTAGACCCAGGGCCCTTCCACACAGCCATATGACCCAGAATATCAAGGCAGAAAATCCCACAATGTCTGCTTTGAACTGAGTCCACACTGCAATGTATTCCAGTTCAAAACAAAAACATTATTTATTTCCAACATTTCTACCCCGTCCTTCTCAACCTCCGAAAGGGGACTCAGGACAGCTTACAACAGTAGCAATTCGATGCTGACAACATACAACACATTACGTACAACATTATACAAAAAATAAAACATTGGATTAAAATACATTTTAAACATTATTATCATCATGTAGCCGTGGGATTTTATTCAGCTGTGTGGAAGGGGCCTTACATATCCTATACAATTATCACAGGCACTAGAAACAATATCATGCTCAAGCTGACTGGCACATCCTGGGGATCACAACCAGACACGGTGAAGATATCTGCCCTTGCGCTATGCTACTCTGCTGCTGAGTATGCATGCCCAGTGTGGAACACATCTCACCACGCTAAAACAGTGGATGTAGCTCTTAATGAGACATGCCGCATTATCACAGGGTGTCTGCGCCCTACACCACTGGAGAAATTACACTGCTTAGCCGATACTGCACCACCTGACATCCGCGGGGAAGTAGCAACCAATAGTGAAAGGACCAAGGCAGTGACATCTCTGGCCCACCCCTTGTTTGAGTATCAGCCAACACGTCAACGACTTAAATCAAGAAATAGTTTTCTAAGATCTACAGAGACACTCGCTGGAGCACCTCAGCAAGCGAGAGTCCAAAAGTGGCAGGCTCAAACCCAGAACCTCAACCAATGGCTGATACCAAATGAGAGACTCCCTCCTGCGCACACAGAAAACTGGGCGACTTGGAAGGCACTGAACAGACTGCTCTGGCATCACGAGACACAGAGCCAACCTTAAGAAATGGGGCTACAAAGTGGAATCCACGACATGCGAGTGTGGAGAAGAGCAAACCACTGACCACCTGCTGCAATGCAACCTGAGCCCTGCCACATGCACAATGGAGGACCTTCTTATAGCAACTCCAGAAGCACTCCATGTGGCCAGATACTGGTCAAAGGACATTTATTTGCACCATTTCTACCCTGTCCTTCTCAATCCTCCCGGGGGGGGGGGGGGGGGGGGGGGGGGGGAGATGGACGGATGGACTCAGAGCGGCTTACACTTGGCAGCAATTTGATGCCATACATACAACAGACAACAATCTGATAACAATTTACAACAATGGATAAAACATTAAGTTAAAAACAGTTAAAAGCATTTTGTCATTTAATAGAATACCAAGTCTGCAAACTTTGTGTTTTGTTTGTTTGTTTGTTTTTAATGCAATACAACTGTTTGGTTTGCTCCTGACACAATAAATAAACAGAGTTGTACTAGTCACATTCCTTCAGCTGAGGTCTTTTGAGGCAGAGGGAGTGTGAGGGTCCTTCCATATAGCCCTATATCCCAGAATATCAAGGCAGGAAATCCCACAATATCTGCTTTGAACTGGGTTATCTGAGTCCATACTTAGATAATGTGGGACTTCTTGCCTTGATATTCTGGGATATAGGGCTGTGTGGAAGGGCCCTCACTTGAGCAGGGATTTGAATCATGGTCTCCAGAGACATAGTTCAGTGCTCAAACCACTACACTACTCTGGCTTTCTGGCACACATTCTAGTTGTTTCTTCACCTTGCGGTTGTGTGCCTCCTAGTCATTTCCGACTATTGCGACCCTAAGGTGTTCCTGTCATGGGTTTTCTAGGGCTGAGATTATGACTCATTCAAGGTCTCTGGTTGCTTTCAGTGGCCAAGCAGGGATTCAAACCCTGGGCTGCAGATTCAAACTACAATTGTTGTAGATAACTAGGACTGCGGATAGAAGGAGCCGTGCCTAGTGAGCACAAGCTAAACCAAATGGGCCAGGTCACAAATGGCACTTCCACACAGCCCTATATTCCAGAATATCAAGGCAGAAAATCCCACATTATCTGAGTGTGGATGCAAATAACTCAGTTCAAAGCAGATATTGTGGGATTTTCTGCCTTGATATTCTGAGATATAGGTCTGTGTGGAAGGGCCCTAAGTTGAAGACAAGCCACAGAGGTTTATTCAATTTGGTCAAAAGGGATGCTAGTACAAGCGAGTGCTTCAAAGTGTACAAGCATAAAACATACAGAGGCATGTATTTTCACTTCATGCTAGGTCACATGTTGAGCCCTTCCTGGAAGACGCTGTTTGTTTAGCTGCCACACAGAATGCCATTTTCTACAGTGTTTGAGAGGACTTTCCAGGTCCTGCTTGCTCAGACTCATAGTCTAACCTCCTGAAAGGCACAGAAGTTAAGCAGTGGAATTCCTTTGTAACCATAAATTAGCAATTAGGAGTCATTTTCAGTTTTTTTAAGAATTGAAACTTTGTAACTGAAATAGAAACACGATTTAATTAAGTCTATATAAAAATAGGGAATGAATCTTATAATTTAAATGGTTTTGTGTTATGGACCCCATGGCCGGAGTTGAGCGCAGCCTCCAGGTGCCGGAAATGGAAAAAGATGGGAAAGCCTTTACCTCTGTTTATGTATTGTCTGTCCTTGTTAATTGTATAACAGCATTGAATGTTTGTCGTATATGTGTTCTTTAATCCGCTCTGAGTCCCCTCGGGGAGACAGAGCGGATTATAAATAAGGTATATTATTATTATTCATAATTTGCGAAATTATTCATGATTCTCTTCTTTCAGTTCTGTTGTTTATTGGGACTTTCATAGAACAAGAGTAGACAGAAAACTGGTTCTGTTTTGCTAAAAATCCTGCGTTCCATTCTCTGCAATGATATGCAGAAGAGAAGCTCATAGAGATGAACCAGTGGATGCAAATGTCGGAGCCTGGGAAGTTATGTTCAGGGTGTGAGGAACTCTGAAGAAAAAATACAAATTCAATTTCACTCCAGCTTTCCCTGATGCATAACTGATTTCAGCTTCTTATTCTGACAGTAAAATAGAGTACTTTTTGTGTCTGCCTTTGCCCAGTTACTGGGAGTTAGAAACTTTTTCCATGAATCATGAAATTAAAAATAGATATGGAATTTCAGCAATATAAACAAGCCACTTATTTGCCTCCCTGTAGCATAGCCTTGCATTTATTCTGAAATTATCTCAAGTTAAAGTGCAAATAACTTAATTTGCTCTTTTATTCCTTTATTGTGGCCTGACCCCTCTCTGTTGTCATTGTCATAGATTTTACGCGGTAAGAATGTTGGGTAGGAAATTGTAAGGATTTTACCCTGTTTCTTGTAAATTTGTGTGTATCATGTTTAGTCATAGCAGTGGATATAAATAAACTATTCATGTTACCCAATTAAGATTGCTCATAATGATGAAATTCCATTGGTATGCCAACTCTTATCTGGGAAGGTCATTATTATATAAAACACATTTTCATATCCAGAAAGTGGAAGAGGCAACAAGGAATTCAGTTATTTTAAATCTGATTCAAACAACAGTAATAATCCGGTTAAGGGGACAGAAATGGTGGGATTATCAGGTGGGAGTGACCATGCTCGCCTTGAGTTTGTTCTATAGTGGAAAGGAGAAATCAAGCCTAGTCAGACATGCACTCTAGACTTTAAGGATGCTAATTTTAATAAACTTAGGAAAGTACTGGGTGTTATTCCACAGGCAGGAATACTAAAAGAGAAAGAATTTCATGATAGACAGGAGTTTCTTTGGAAGCTTTTAAACAGGGGCTGGATAGCCATCTGTCAGGGGTGATTTGAATGCAATATTCCTGCTTCTTGGCAGGGGGTTGGACTGGATGGCCCATGAGGTCTCTTCCAACTCTTTGATTCTATGATTCTATGATTCTGAAAAGTGAGATATTGGAGGCACAACTTCTAACAGTTACAGTGAGGAAGAAAAATGGGAAGTGTCTAAAGAAGCTCAAAATGCATGACTAATAGACTCTCAACTGAGTTATGATTTACAAGAGACGTGTACAAGAAATGGAAAATGGGTAAAGTCACCAAAAAGGAATTTAAACAAATAACCAGCAAGTGTAGGAAAAATCAGAAAAACTAAAGTGCAGAATGAGTTCAGACTTGCTAGAGGTGTTAAAACCAATGTGCACTTTTTTTTTGTTAGCTCCGCAACCAAAGGAAGAACAAGGAAATTGTCAGGCCACTGCATGAAAGAGATGGTGAAGTGCCAACAAGGGACAAAAAAGGCAGAACTACCCAACATCATCTTACCCTCAGTTTTCTCACAAAACCAAAACACTGCTGGACTTGGGGATAATGGAGCAAATAATGCAGTAGAAGAAATGTGTCACAGAATAAGTAAAGAGGCAGTACAGGAATATTTGGCTATTATCTCTCAAGACTAACTAAATGGAAATAAGCAGAAAAGATGCAATCCAGAAATACGTGGCTTGACAA